GTGATGACCTCAGCTGCATTAGTAAGAACCATTTCTCTCTGCAGCCAATGTGGTAACTTGTTCAGTTTGTCCTCTAAAGTTCTTTCTCTGTCCTGTCCCGACAAACCAATCTTGTAAAAGGAGATCTCTGCCACTTTTGTTGGTACCATTGTGTTACAGATTGTTTGGAGTACCTTTTCAAGACCTGCGATTAAGACCTGCAAAAGATCCGGGAGAATTTCTTTATCTTGGCTTTTCTGAAGTCTTCCGAGGAAGCCCTGCTCTTTGCCTTGTGCCTTCCTGCTCTAGCCACTGTGGGGGTCAGGAGACACAGGGGTCAGACATGGAGACCCGGGCTACGAGTTAAAATAAACCCTTGGGAGAAAGCAATTTAGACATATAGTAATCGTTCAGGTTTTCAAAAAATACTGAGCGGCCTGCTGCTAGAAGCAAGCTCAGTGTCTCAGTGTCCTTTGGACTGAACTATTATTGGGAAATCCAGGTTTTGATTTGTGTTTTTTAAAGAAGGTTTGCCTCTGCTGTCTTGACAGCATGAAGTAGGAAAGCAGCAAGAGGTTATCAGAAGATGTGTATTGCAAAGGACTGGTCAGCATCTGGAGGGTGCGGGGGTGTAGTCACCAGCATGTAAAGGCAGACATCTGTAGAATGCTTTGGGTTCCAAAGATATTCTTATGAATGAAAGGTGCTTATGACTGGAATGCATGCTGAAATAGGCAGTGCTAATGGAGTCTCTACATCTCCTTATCTTCACTTGTAAATCTGCCTCCCAAGATAAATGTTTAATAACATTCCAATTTGGTTGTACTTGCTAAAAGTGATAGAACTAATGTCCCATAATCCAATAGATCCATTTGTAGTGAATAACACTAAGGGTTCAATCCTGTGCTGCTGATTTAGCAGGATGTCTGCTTAATTTACTACATCTCACTGTTGCAGCACTTGCTCACTGATCAAACCAAATTATTTACCTGGTACTGAATGTAGTCCACTTTTCAGCTCCAAAAGGGCAACAATTTCTTTATATGTATAAAAATTAACAAAAATCTCGCATGCTCTTGGGAATCAGTAAATGTGTGTGTGAGAGGCAGAAATCTGAGTAGTTGTTTCGTTATGCTTTGGTCAGATGACAAGTGTACGTGGTAGTACTGCATGCACAAACTACTGATGCAAATACTTGTGAATATTTGAAATTTGCTTTGGTCAGTTATACCTCTGCACTCAACTTTTTCCTGCAAACGTTAGAGAAAGGTAGAACTACGGCTAAAGTAAATTCGTGTCACACTTCAAACAAATACCTGTAGAATTCTTTCTATTTGGCAAATGAAGTGCTCCTAATCACTTCAGTGGGAATCTGTCTGGTTTAAGGAATGCAGTATCTTGACCTAAGACCCCTGCTAACACTTACGTAATGAGACCCACTGAACCATGTGGGACTACTTATGCACATGATTAATTTTACGGACAATTTTTTGCAATATGCAGGTCCAGGATGGCACTTATAACTGCAGTCATCGATTTTTGATTGCAAAGTAACAGACTTAAATATTAGGCTAGAATGACAAGGACCCCAGTTATGTTTTCCTGCTGCTGCACTGTGGATGGTCTTCTCTTACTTCTAATCGAACTCTTGTAGAGAACTGTTGCTTCCATAAATCCTGAAAAATCTTCCAGTAGTTATTTACTCAGAAGCTCTTTGTTAGATTGAAATGACTAGTTTTTATTCTAAGAACTTCCTGTTAAAAAAAACATATCCAAACATCCCCCCCCAACAAAACCCCAACATAAATAAATAAGCCCCCCATCCTTCAGCTGTCACTCAAGTATTTGCTTTGTTCTGCAGCTCAGAGTAATGATGATTGTATTATGTGAAACTGTGTGTGGAGAGAAATATCTATTTTTATTGAAGAATTTTCTTAAGACTTTTTTCTTTTCAAGCATTGCTTGTAAGTTTGATGTGTTTTATTGCCAACTCTTTATGTAAGAACTGTGTTGAGGCAACTGATCCTGATACCTCAGCTTGTATTCTCAGGTTTTGCAGCCTTGCCAGTAACACCTTACTGAAGTCCTGGACTCAACAGTGACTGGTAGAAATAATCTTCCTACTGCTTCTAAGTAGACTTTAATTTAGTAGTTTGGGAGACCAAGTGAAGCTCCAGGATGGACACAGTAAAACTGTGAGAGCAAAAAAGATTCCCTTCACAGCCCAAAAGTTCTGTCCTACACTTACGGGGATAATGCCTGATGCATCAGAAAGTTTGCAGCAAAACTGAAGCATTTCACATGCTTGATTTCAAAGGCTTCACTATATACACTTCTAAAAAAATTTGAGTATGTAGAGCAAGTCCAAGGCAAGGAAGAGAAGTAGCCTAAACCAACAGTATTGTTCTTCTGTCCCCTTTTTTATCCTTGCAGGGAATGAGACAAGTTTTCACCTTCTAATCTTTGTGTAGGATCACACACAACTTGGTGTAAGCATTCTTGCTTAAACCTCTATCTTAAGGTCCATTTCCCTGCGCACTATCCTTCATATCTGTCTCTGTTTAATCTAGCTGGTTATGATCCACAAACCTGATTAGGGAAAACTTGCTTCCTCAGTTGAGAGTCAGTGGTTGTTGTATCCCATGTCTTCAGGACTGGCTCTTATTGCAGGTTCACTGAAAATTTAATTTTCTCCTCAATGTCACAGGGTAGAGTCTAATCTAGATGATCTGAATAACTTACAAAGGGTGTATGTAGCGGGAAATGACCAGCATATTGTTGGAAAAAATAAGTCCAAGTTTCTGCAGGGGAAAACCTATACAGCAGGTTGGCCTGTTAGACTGACTGATACAACTGGGAGGAAAGAGAATATATAAGCTTTTAGACCTGCAAGCCTTTTCCAGGTCTGCTGATTACCTACCCTCTTAATGCAATTTTTGTTTATGTTTTCTGATAAATGCTTTATGTGTTACTTAATACTAAATTTTATAAGGAGATGTGGCTTGTACCTTACTACTCGTTTCTTCTGTCAAAGAGATTTCATGTGAATATCTGTGAAGATTAGATCCAGTTTAAAAAGGTCTTCTACAGTGAAATTGAAATCATCTTGATCAGGGCCTATACAGTTTTGTTTATACTGCTTATAAAATGAATTTTAGTAGCATTATTGTTTAAAAAATAAAATCACAAATTCAGTAAGCAAGCAAGCTAGACTGGCTAGGCTGACATCCCCAGAAACAGAAATTAATTGGTTTTCTCCCCCCTAGTTGGGGGCCAGCGTAAGCAGTGCCTTGTCCCAGGTACACAAACCTACTAATATGCAAATAATACCTGAAAACAGGATAGGGTCCATGTGGATCTTGGACTGCTTTGATGAAGCAGTGGCAGAGCCAGTTGTGTGGTGGTAGGCTCAAGGATGAGGCTGGCCAGGGTCCAGGTAAGTTCACTCTGGTGAAATAAAGATAATGGATTAGAACTCTGTGGAGGGTCTGCCACCCCTCTCCTGTGTGTGGAGGCAAATGCCAGGGTAGGTTGCATTTTCTGTGTTTCTTTTGGAGGAGGCTGAACTGAGAGATTTGGTTATCAGCTGAGGGAAAGCAGCTGTCTCCAGCTGTCTGAGTGTGCTTAGACAGGTGGGCTCCATAACTAAAGCTGCACCCAGAGCGGGGTCACAGTCACAAACCACTATAGGAATGACTCAGAACTCTAGCTGGCCAATTTTAATGTGACGGTCCATGAAGGAGAGCTTTCCCTTCCCCCTTTTGTCTGAGTCCTCTTTACTTCTTAAATTCTTGCATAAATTCACTTGGTGCATCTTGTGTGATAATCTTCAAGTACTGCTGTGAAAGTCAGAAATAGCTGGAGAACTCTGTGTGTGCTTTTGTCTAATTCCTAGTGAGTAGCTTGCCAAAGCTGCCCAGACTTTTAAGGAGGCAGTAGTGCTACTTTCTAGTTCTAAATGGAATGATGTATGTTGCTTCTTCATAATACAGAATTAAAGTAACATCAATTATAATTTTGTGCCTTTTCAAGTTATCTATACCTTTTCTGCAATCTGCTAACATGAATAAGAAATGCAAAATGTTCATATAAGAAATCTGTTCTAATTATAAGCATATTTTTATTCATATAAATGTTCTAGTCACCTTGAAATTTCCCTCCAGAGAATGGCTGCTAAAAATTTCATGTGCTTTTGCTCTAAAATACTGGATTGCCCTGTAGCTGATTATCCTGTAACAGTAAATAGAAAGACTTTGTCTTATTTGTGGTACAATGAGGAAATTCTTGATATTCTTGTAGACCAGTAGCATTAATGTTTTTGCAGTAAGGGGGCAACTTGATATCTGTGACCTGCTGACTCTTACTTGTTTTTAAGAAAAGCCTTCAAAAATCCCTTGTGAATCTCTTGGTTAGAATGGAAAAAAAAAAAAAACAACCCTCCACTGTTCTTTAGTAGAGACTGTTTCTGAATACTTAAAAGCTGTAAATAAATTGGAACAGGTTTCTTATTCCTACTTGGAAGAAAAATCTATGTTCAGACCGTGATTAACCTGCAAGCCAGTTGTTTTAAGATGTTGACTCTAGCTTACTCTGTTATTCCATGAGAAATCTGCTAGGATTTTTTCCCCTCAAATGAAGTTTTGATGGAGTTTGACATAAAATTTGGATAGTTTTTTCACATATATGGAATTATATTATTTAATATATGATATCATGATATCATATTATATATATATTATATATATATTATATAATAATGATATCATTATTCACATGTTTTTTACACATACAGAATTACTAAACCATAAACAAATTATCATGGTAAATATAAAACCATTATCTCAGGAATGGACATCCCTCTATAGAGTTGTCAGCTGTAGTATCTGAAGGCAAAAAGCACTATCTATGCAGTCTCCTTGACTTCTAAGGTCCATTCAAGATCCTTCAGTGCCAGGACTGTGGCAGGAAGGCTTTAATTTTTAAGAAGCTTTTCACTAATGGAGATGTTCTTGCTTTTTCAGGTGTCTTTGAATACTGCAGAAACTGAGTGGCTTCTTGCTGCAGAATAGAATATGGAAAGTACTGAAAGCTGTCTGTGGTGTGATATGGCTGAGATCCATGCACAAACGTACAGGAAGGTAAACTGTGATGATAGCAATGTCTCACCTCAGGGGACTGGTAAAAATACGATGACACTTGAACTATGAGAGAACCTGAATCAAATGGGCTTTCCTCTGAATCACAGAGTGAAAGAGACCATACAAGAGTTTTTGCAGGGAAAGTCTGCTTTGATGACCAAAGAATTCTGTTTGACAAATGTGTCACAAATGTGCAGTGTTATCTGTGGTGTTTGGGTGCTAGACTCTTACACAGCCATTGGTGTAGTCTGAAGGGAATAATGTAAATGGTTGTTAACAAATGTATGGCTAAGAGAGCTTGGACAGAAACAACTAAACAATTTCAGTCCCACAAAGAGATGAGTGGACTTAAGTTGCTGCTTAAGGTAAATGCATTTCAAAGAGGAGGTGGAGAACAGGCTTCAAAAGATCTCCCAAGGACCATCTGAGAGAACTCCTCACCTTCCTGCACTAGTGGCAGTTTTACCTTTGGGTTCACAAGGCCAGGATTTTGCCATGGGAGTTAAGATCAGAGAAACCTGTGTTCTGGTGAACAATCTCAAAGCAGAGTTTGGAGCTTTTTCTATGGTCTATAGCTGCAGTACCTACAGTAACTTGAAATGAAAGACATGTGTTCTGTCAGTGATAACTGCTGCAAGGAAAACCATTTCCAGCCCTTCTGTGCTCCCCCAAAATAGTTATCATCACTTAGACTTAAAGAATAAATTTTCTGAGGAGAAAATAATTATTTAATGCTGCCTTGTGTACTTTAGCTATCCCCAAGCTTGAAATGTTTAGCTTCTCTCATTTTGGTGAAAAGATTTGTGGGGTTTTTATATGTGTGCTCAAAAGAATTGAATTAGTGAGCTAGTTTGACCAGCATGTTAAATTTGGGGCCTGGGAACAAACATTTCTGGAAACAAAAAATATGAGTTCCAGGGTACTTACACTGCAGACTGTCCATTTGTCAACAATTGCTTTTTAAACTAATTGTTGAAAAGATTTTAAGATATTATTTAATTGACAAATCATATAATAAGATTAATTTTCTCTCTTGGAAGAAAGAGGGTTCTTCTTTCTCGAAAAATCTGATAATGAAAAAAATGTGTGCTCTATAAACATCTCTTAAAGTATTCCAGTCGCTTATTTGTATATTATCACATAATTATCTCATTTAATATTAATATTGAAGTTCTTGATTTTAATTTATTATGGGAATGTTGATTTCTGTATTTGTTATTTATTGATATACCTAATGTAGTTTGGGGGAAAGATCTGAAATGCACCTCAACATTTTCAAATATAACTTAACAAATAAAAAGCATTCAAAAAATTATGTAAATAGATTTCTGTTATAAATTGTGGGTCCTTGAACACTTGCTATACCTAGAGGGTTTTTTTTGGCTGTTACAGAACTTACAGGAATAATGCTTGTAACTGAACATTAGTGAAACTTTGAGGTTTGTGGCTTGTAATTTTTTCAACACTTAAAACCTCTGCTGTTGTAATGCATCATTCCAACAGTAAACACAGGAAAAAATTTAGAACACTTTCTTGCAAAGCTGAAATGTGTTCACATTGTGGAGTAGACACCTGATGTCTTTTAATGAATAAGGGGCAATTTTTTTATTATTGTTGTACCTCATGCTGTACCTGTGAAGAAACCCTCAAATTTAGTCAAACTATAAGCCTTTGAGAAATTTCTGTTTACATAGTCCAGTGACATTTGTAAATGTGAGTTGGAGAAAATGCATTAACTGCTTTCCTATGTCTTTTGTCTTTGTTTTGCCCAGGATTGCTTCTCCTGGAAGGTTGCTTTACCTAGCTCCACTGTTACTATTCATATGCACATAAGACTTGAAAATTCGTAAGTTACAGCTTAATGCATTTTTTAAAGATGTTTCTTAGCAAATTATTAGATAGTGATGCCTTTTACTTTTGCATTTCAAAGCATCAAGGGTCTAACCCAATTTCTACTGTAGTCCAGACTACTTTTCTGCTTGGGATTACATCCCAGTAGCTTAAGAAAGTATACCCTGTTATGGTTTATTGCTATAGTTTAAAAATATTTGAATGGTTGTTGGATCTTGAGTTCTATGACCAGGCATCTGATAAAGATATGTCTCTTTTTATTATTGTCTCAAACAACATTCTGCAGCACTAATCCTGTCTGCAAAATAACATTCATGCTTAATAATTTTACACAATGTCAGATATCTTCAGCTGTAATTATGGTTCAAAATGGTTTAAATGGTGGCAGAGGTATTACTTTGGCAAATACCTATCCTTCAAACCTTATTTTTAGAAGAAATAGCTAATGCTGTTTGCATTCACGTGTTTTTAAGGTGCCTTGTATGTGAGGTTTCTTACCAAAGGGGACACTTCTAACAGTATGCTAGAATTTTTTTCCAGTTCATTTAAGAGAGTTGTTTGAAACCTTACATTGTCTCTTCTTAAAATAAATATTTTTCACAGGTGTTCTACTAAACAAATATTGCTGGGGGGTTTCTAGGGGTGGGTTTTTTTTTTTCTGTTTTTAAACTACATTATTAAGGCTTGATCTTTTTGATAATACAGTTTTAACTTGGAACATAACATGTAGCAACAAAAATGTATATATTGTGATCTGAACAGGTTCTCTCCCCCAAATACACTTAGAGCATATGTTCTCATCCTGTGTAGCCTAGAGGATGGCTGATTGTGTGCTGAGAGATTTGGATAAAGAGGCTGTCAGTGCATTTGCCTCTCATGAGCCTGATTTCATTTATGCAACATAAATTAACTGAGATGCTTTCTCACATATAGAGTGAGAAGAGCATCTATGCTCTCCCTTTGAATTCCTTTAAAAGAATTTGAAGTCTTTAAAGGACACTTCGTTGTATTCAGAAAAGTGCTCTGTGATTAACTGATCTTTAGCTCATACAAGGCCCTCATGTCAAATACAGAAGATGTACAGCTGTTCTTTGCTTCTGAAACCAAGAGACTGCAGGAGAACATTTGTGAGAAGGTAGCTGCTTGCAGGTAAATATTTTCTTCAGCAGAACCTAAGGAAAGTGATATTTATTTACTTTGACTCCAGTTCTTCTCTATGTGCGGGGTCAGGCCTCTAGAGCAGTACTAATTGAAAGGCGGAAAGTTCATGAGCAAAAGTGTTTCCCTTCTGTATGGAATAAGAAAAATTAAGCAAAATTGATCCTTCATAGACTTGTGTACCCAGGTAACACAGCAGAACGTACAGAAATCACATACAAGTTGTGAAAATGTTGACTATCAATGACTGTAGGAAGTAACAAAGAACAGCTTGTTATTCTGCACTGTTTCCCCTACCCCACTGAGTTTTTCCCTGTATCATTTGTGGGTGGAACATGAACTTGGGTGTGTATCTGCAGGCATAATTTGACCTTTGAAACCTCCATTACTGTAACTGATACAAGAAAAGTGAAAGTCACAGTTTATGTTCGGGTACCAGACCAAGTACCTCATAAAGTTTGAAAAACACAGTTAGAGAAAACATAATTTTTGCTGGCATGTGGCTTTGCTATATGAACTGCCCTGGCTTGTCCTGTTAAAATTTGCAGCAAACCCTTTTACCAGTATGAGAAGGCAACACAGACTATGTGTCAGTAGGATAATAGTAGGCAGGATAATGCCAAATACCAGGAAAATAAAGAATGGGGGAAAATGTTGTTTTCCTCAGTGAGTTATTGCCTTTCTTGCCAAGATTTGCCAAGCCCTGCACATTGAGCATTAGATATGCAATCAACTCTGCCAGAATTTTTCATACTTTGCAGCAAATGTGGCAGCTTTTACCAGTCCTGCTTTCATCCATTATGTGGATGAAAGCCCTGTTGGCTTCGTGCTTCTCACGCAATACCCTCACTTCCACACCAAATGTGCCAGGTATTTTACCTGGCACGTGACAGCCTGTAGCAATGGATCTCTTTATGAGCTTGCTGTGTGCAAGATGCTGTGATCTGTCCCTCAGGCAGTTCTGTGCACTTGGGTTCTGATCTAGAGGGGGCCCAGCACTGAGCTGGGGGCTGGGGTGCTCTGTTTTGTGGACCGGAAAGAAATGAAAACCCAAACCCATGGCTGGATGCCCTACAACTGTGCTAATGGGAATATTGGAATATAAAAAAATGTGTATATATGGGGTATATAAAGGAGTTCTAATCCTCTTGGGTTTCCTGCTTTTTCATTAGCATCTGGCCCACATGAACTTACAGAAATAAATCCTCAACCCGTTTCCCCTCTGCATACAAGTAAAGAAACCCCAGTATCTAAAGTTGCCAGGACTCCTACTTAAAGTGTCACACTAGTCTCTCTAGCTTTAAAAAAAGGGGTAATTATATATATAGTTTCCTTTCAAACATAGGGACAAACATACAGCAGCTTTACTTTCTGCTCTTCCAGGAGGGCACTGTGTGCAATCCCTTGGGGACCAGCTTTGAGAGTACTGTATGGGAGAACATCACTGCTGCTGGGAGCTTTAACATTGGGCTTGCTCTCCTGGCATGCCAGACCTTTCTGTAAGCTATAGGTGACAGGAGACCTAATGATGGAATGATTATTTTTGGGTATATAGCTCATCATCCTCAGCAGAAAGGGCATAGCAGAGAAAAATAATGAAATGCTGCATAAAATGGATACACTTCTAAACAGGAAAAACAAATAACTAATAATCCAATGAAGGCCTTCAGAAATTAATAAATATATAAGGTAATTTAGGATTTCTACACAGCTAATCTCTATCCATAGCTATCTCATCAATCTCTAGTTTTGCAGGCATTTGCAGGTGATGCTTTTTCTTTAGCAATTAATGATCTGAAAAAATTAGCAATTATAGTAACTTAATAGAGATTCAAATAGTGTTTGTTAAACAAAAGTAACAGTTGTGGTATTACTGCAAAATGTAACTAATTGATCTGCTACTGGATTTATAGGGGCATGTAGAAAGATATTTTTTATAGTATCCTTTAGAATGATAATAGACACCATGTTTTTTCCCTTGCTCTTAGAAATAGGAACTGTTCTGTTTTATATTCCACTGGGTAACGTGTGCACTGTTGAGTACTGAATTTTTAATGTCAGTCACTAACTTATGAAAACAATCTCTGCTTTACTGACCTTAATACTTGTGAAGTATTAGGTGCACAACCACATTTTCTGTTCTTATATGGATATTCTAAGTCAGTACTTCATTTCCAGAAACAACTGTTTTGCTATTATAGTACGTTTTAATGAGACACTATTAATTGATAGGGTTTTCCCCTTAATTTTTATAGAAATTCTGTGTGGATTTCAGTCACCTAAATAGCTGTACAGCAGCACAAACACACTTGAAATACCCTTAAATGAGTTAATTTGAATGGTGTAAATAGTTTTGCTTGTGATTTATCTTTCCTAAAAGCTATAAAATGCATGTAATTGAGCTGCTGAGGGATGCTGTGTTATTCAATAGTGCACATAGAGGGCACTTGCCCTTCTGGCTTAGTTACTGGTCAGTTTGTGCATTTCTCAACACTGAAACTTCCCCTGAAGTCTCTGGTACAGTGCAGCATTAAAAAAATGTGCAATGCCTTTTACGTTACAGAAATGTATAGAATTCAAAAGCATTTTATGTACATAAAGTCTTATTTTTCAGATGAGTTTAGAGTCTTGAGTCTTCAAACGTGTTGGTATCAACTAATGCTGCAGCAGAGATGGTAATTAGATTTTGCTGTCATCTGAACAGCAATTGAGAGTTATTTTGGACTCTCTGATGTGCTTGCAATAAGGTGCCATTTGCTGAGGGATGAGAATGGTTGTGAAATTTGTTAGATCTATAACTGAAAATCAATCTGTGTAACTAACATTAGGCAAAGGCAATTTTTTTGATGTAGGCTGGTTGGCCTTTCTTGTCACGGTCCTTGATGCTTGCATTCATCCTTTCCTCTGCCTTCGTCTCCTCCAGAGCCTTGTTTGCCTGTTGGGGACCAGGTGAAGCTACCTTGGTGTATGCCTGGACAGCCTCCAGTGGCCATCTGGTGCTGCTTAGCTGGACCTTCTGGCCCAGAAATGAGATCAGCACTTTCTCATGGCTGCTGGTCTTTGGCTTGTATGCGTAACAAAGAGTTCCTGTGGTAAAAGAAATGAGAACAAGTCAGCATCTTTGTGATTCACTCCCTTAACCAGTTTCTTGGAAAAAATAGTTTTCAAATGTCTGTGTTCTTAGTATCCATTTATATTGTTTTGAGAAGACTGTATTCAGCAAAGTCAAAAGGCACAACAGCTCTGAGTGGCATCTTTAAATATTTGTTGATATTAAGAACCTGGCAAATACAACCTGGCAATAATTTTTCACCCTTGTGCAATGTTGAACTGGCAACTGTCAATTAGAATCACTCACCCCGCTGGAGTGAAAATAGGAGCACTTGCTAATGTTTGTTTTAGCATTTTTAATCTTAGAAATTGGGGAAGAAATTGTGTATCTTGCTTATATGACATAGATGTAATTGTTCCTCTTCCATTTCATGATAGGCTTTTCCACACAGGATTTTCCCCTTCTCCCTCTACTATCTTTGATTAATAAATAGTAATAGGCATTTTGTTCAAATAAGAAATGTCTGTTAAAGGAACTGGAGTTTCTTTCATACCAGTCAATGAATGCCACTCGTATAAAGTTGATCAGGAATTGCATGTATGTGGAATCCAGCCCTAAAGTAATAAGGACAAAACCTCTAAATTTTGTTTCTAGATATATTTCTGATATTTGCAATTATTATAAGAAGATGAACACCTATCTAATGAGGCTCTTCTGCTGGATTTCTTAAGTGACACTGTAAACTCATTGACTATGCTGATGATTATAATAACCTGTGTCACAGTACAGTATTTTTATTATATTTTCTGGAATTTCCTTTTCTTCTAATACGCCAAAATATTTAAGAAAGCAGCTGTGCATTTTCTTTTTGTTGATCTGGTGTGCTTTTTCTGGGTGTAATGTCATTAGGATAAAGAAAATTATTCCTCTCAAATGAGAAGTGTGCTTGAGCATATAGGCAGATGAGGACAGTAGTCATTACCCAGGGAGGGAAAAGCACAAGCAAAGACTTAAATACTCTGACCTATGTTACAGCTGCAGACTGAGCAACTGGAGCAACTGGCTCCTGATGGTCCCTTGTAATTCCAAAACTAAGTGAAAGCACAGGCAGGAGTGGAGAAACTGAGGAGGCCAGGAGATGAACTAAAGGGAAAAGTAGGACTGTAGTATACATGGAAAAACTCTCTTGCTCTGTTTCCAGATGGCCAACTCTTGATTAGCTTTTTTATTATTATTTTATTTTATTTTTTGGTTCTGTGGTTCAATTGTTACATTAAAGGCATTGAATCTTGCACTTTAAAGAGGAAACATTTAATCATTAGATAGTGATTACTGAGGAGAAGCTTCAAACTAAGCTTTCCCTAGATATTTCTATTCACAAAATAAGTAAAAAGCCCCATGCAATATATCCCAAAAGCTGTCAAGCTATCTATACAAAATTCATTTAAATCTAAAGGGACTAGTTTAAAAAACAAAACAAAACAAAAAACCTCTGGCAAACTCCAAATATTGAGATGCAGATGTAGAATCACAGAATTGTTTAACTTAGAAAACTTAGACCTTTGACTTGGACCTTTGAGATTGAGTTCAATTATTAACCCAACACTGACAAGTTCACCACCAGACCATGTCCCTAAGGTGCCACTTGTTAATTACATTAAGGTGCCACCCTTTTAATTACCTCCAGGGATGGTGACTCCACCACTTCCCTGGGCAGCCTCCTTCAGTGCTTTCTGTGAAAAATTTTGTAATATCCCATCTAAACTTCTCCTGGTGCAACTCAAGACCATTTCCTTTTGTCCTGTTGCTTGGGATCCAGAGGACTGGTAGACATATCTTCAATTTTCTGGACTGGTGATATTAAACTCTATTGCTGTGAAAGGAGGAGATGATCAGATTGGCTATTAAAACTTGTTTGTGGTAGCTTTTTGTTGGTTTTTTTTTTTTTTTTTTAGGAAGCAGAGATATTTTCTTACCTTTCTTTTTTTTGTACTGCATCTATGTTGGTTGCAATGAAAGACATGGCTATTACTTTGTTAATATGGATGTAGGTAAATG